GTTTATATCATAGAGTTAATATTATGTAATATTTATATGTAGTATAAATACTTACATAATATATAAATATGTACCATAGTAGTGATGGTATATATATACATATTACATACTATATAATATATTACATATCTATATATAAATATTTATATATCTATGATATGTATACGATATAATTATATATAATACTAAAATCTACTATATATATATTTATACGTGTCTACTGTAAGCGAGGGGGGTGTATACTCATATATAGTACATTTATATTCATATAAATATACATATATATTATATATATTACATCATTACTATATTCACATAGTTGTACCTTATTCGTATTATTATAATATCTACATATCATAGTAATACAATATTAAATATATGTATATACAGGGGGTAGTGGCATGGGGTGAGTACTTATATATTATACATATATACGATGACATATATATAATAATTGCATTTATATATATGAAATATTTTATTTACTATATTCATGATCAATATATACTGTATATACATATATATATATATTATAATATGATATATATAATATATATATAATATACTATATAATATATATATATAAAATATATATATGATATATGTATATATTATTTATTATATAGGGGTGTAGTATATATATATATATAATATTTATATATATGATATATATATATATAATATATATATACTAATATATATGACTATAATATTATTATATACATATTTAACTATCATAATACTAGTATTACTTATATATACTATATATATAAGTGTGTAATTATATATACTATATATTATGTATATGTATATATAAAATATATCTTATTTATATAATTATACCACTATATAGGTATATATCAACTAGTATATATATATACTTACATCTATAATTATATATATATAATATAATGTATACTATTAATATTATATTATATATAATATAATATATTATATATATATATATTACTATTATATAATATATATACTATACTACATACATATAATATTATTAACATATTTTCTCATATAATATATATACATATCATATATATATAAATATTAATATATTTATATATTATACATGTATTACTTATTATATATATATATACTATATATATAATATATATATATGTATACTATACATATTAAATATATAAATATTATATATATATATATTAATATTATACATTATTAAATATACATTCACAACATATATATTATGTAAATGATTATATATTACTATACTTACTATATATATATATATATCATAATATCTATATATATTTCAAAAAAAAAAAATATTTATATTAATACGATAGTATATTATATATATGATAATATACATTATATATATTGACAATATAACTAATATATATATGATTATATATATTATAATTATATATATTATATATATTATATATATCTAACTATATATATATTAATATAGTCATATTATATTATTCACTATATATACTATATAGTTATGTAATATACATTACACACATATATACTATATATCTAAGCTTTATTATATATATATATACTACACATATATATATGAATATATATATATATATACTACTCATACTACCTAATATTTTCCTATACTATATATATATACTAATGGCTGAGTGTGTGTGTGTGTACTTGTATAATGTATATGCTGCCCACCTGGTACTACTTATTATATATATATACGTATATATATACTATATATACTATATATTATGTAGCATGTGCTGTGTACTATGTGGTGCTGTGTCGTGTGATGCTATACTAATATATATATCTATATATATATTATATAAATATTATTTATAAATATATATATATAATTATTTATTACATATTTATTTATTTATTTATAATATGTATATATCATGATCATATGTCTATATATATTAATATATGAAATATAAATATATAATATATATTATATCATATATATTAATATGTATGTTACTATATATGTATATACTTATATATATAATATCTATATATATCTAAATATATGATATAATCATACTATAATATATATATGTGTTGTTGTGTGTGTGTGTGTGTGTGTAGACTGTATGTAATGCTGCTGATGTACTATAATATATAATATATATATTATAAATACTATACTTATACTATATATAATATTATATTTATATATGTGCTATATATCATATGACCTGTATGGCCTATACCTATATATATGTATCGTTATGTATATATAAGTATGCTATGTGTAATATATATATTATATACTATATGTATGTTACTTAATATATATATATATATATATATACTATATTAATATTATATATAATATATATACATATGTATATTATAATATGTATATCTCTCTCTATACTATATAATATAATACTATCAATTACTACTCAAATTTATAAATATCATATAATTATATTAATATATTAATATACTATAAATCAATATAATATATATAATAAATAGAATATTATTAAATATATAACATCCTATGTAT